GGGCATGGTTTGTGTAATTGGAGAAACTTTTCCTGGCGTTCATTAGTATTTTTTTATTATATTTTCTGAAGTTGTTTCTCCAAATTTAGATGTAGAAAAAGCCGAAGTTTGTTCTCATTCATTTTCTTAGCTCAAATGGACCATTACTTATTTGAAGAGTTATATATGTTTTCAGTAACTTTTGTTGCATTGGCACCAACTTTACCATTGCTGCGAGAAGTTTTAGAACTCAATGAAGGTTTGCAGTCATTGTGATGGATATACTCTAGGTCCAGCACTGGATGTCTCTCTTCTGAACGTGCAGAAGCTAGAACTGGAAAATATGCAAACCGGAAGCTAAGAGGACGTTGACGTTTGCAGGATCCATGAAACTTTTGGTATGTATCAATCTCTTCTGATGCAGAGTTAATGCCATGCTTGCACTTAGGGCTTCAGCAGTTTCCATTTAATTATTAATGTTGTTGTCTTTCTTGTTTCTTTTTGTTTGATTAAAAAGGCGGGTTATGGTGGCAACAAATTGAGTATTTTTCAAAATTAACTGCAACTGAAACAGTGACATGATTGCTATGTAACTTGCAAAATGTATCAAGTAGGTTCTGGACTAAAGGTACTTAAAGGTTAAAACTTACATTTCCTTTGTCAAAGTGAGGAAAATTTCTAAAATTGTAGTTTTTCTCTTCAAAATGATAGCTTGGCACGGACGGCATATAAGCCAAAAGATCCAGTTATGGATAAACCTTCTGAAATTCGGCCCTGATCCAAGAGTTTGGGACAAAATATAACTTCTGGTTCCATCTTGTTTTTCTACATCAGGAGGGTCAGCCTGACCCAGATAAGAGGCAAGCGCTTTGCAGCAAAACTGTCATATGCTTGGCTGACCGGAGAGATTAGATGCAGCACATGCTTTGGTAGAACTTGCCAATTGTCAATCACATTTTGCTAAGAATGGCTTAACTTTATCTTGGAGGGAACATGGTGTGCCTCACAGTCAAGATGGAAAGTTATTGACAAATGTAGCTCAAGATAATTGGCAACTCGTTAATAGATTTGGAAGAGGTGGCAAGATGAAGAAGGATACTGGTGAAAGGTTAAATTTTCCATCAGCAAAGGCCAATAGTGCAGTGAGAATGCAAGACAAACGGAAACTTGAGGTCGACTTTTATTTGCCTCCATTCAAAAAATACAGGAAACTTAATGCTTGTGAGGAGAAGAATGATAATTCACATGAAATGTGTGACAAGTTGGGTGATCATGAAAATCACCAGGATTTTGTAGCTTCTGCAAGTAGTGGCCCATATGCTTTTGGCCTAGAATTTTTAGAAAGCAAGATGTCAACAAAGAACCTGAAAATGAAAGCAGATGTGACATATTTGTATGAACCGGATAAATATGATTGTTTACTCACTAGATCTCGAGAGTTGATTGGTGAACCTATTGGTTTGAGCAAGGCAATAACTTTACAGAAAGTGAATGCTGAATCTGGCTCATTAGGTGGTGGGTTAATTTATGATTCACTCCTTTCGGAAAGGACGGCCTTTGATGCTGTGACATCTAGTGTAAAACCAGCAAAGAAGCAGCGATCCGCTTTGTCCATAGCAACCTTGATAAAGGATTCTCATTTTCCATTGTACACCTTTTTTCTGCTGTTCGCATAGCTCTAACTACTACAAATTCCAACTATTATGACTCAGTGTTTGATGAGCATATTGGGGAAGGGAGCAGAAGACAATCACAACGCAAAGGTGTCCAGAACAGAATTTTTGAAGGCTTCAATCGGTTTTATTCTCAGGAAAAGAGTGTCTTCAATTCAGAGCAAGTGGAACAAAAAAAAATTGCCTTATCTTACCATACATCAAATTGTGCAGCACGTGAGATTGAAACCTGGAGACTCTCGTATCCTTGAAACAAAGGAGCCACTTCAGGATTTAATTAGAGGAGTTCTGAAGATATTTTCATCTAAAACAGCACACCTCCTGCAGCAGATTGGAAAGTTCTCACAGTATATGAAAAATCTAGCAAAAGTTGGTCCTGGATTGGTCCAGTTCCATTTAATCTGCCACATGCTGGTCGTACTGAAGAAGTGTTAACTTCTGAAGCTTGGGGTCTTCCACGCAAAACTCTTCTGAAGCTGGTAGATTGCTTTGCTAACTGGCTAAAAGAAGGCCAAGAGATGCTCCGACAAATTGGAACTCTTCCTCCGCCACCTGTGATGTTGATGCAACCCACCAATGCAATAGAAAGATTCAAGGACATGAGAATTCTGAAAAGTCACACCACTATCAGCCCAAGCTGTGAAGAAGTAAGGGCTTATTTCCGTACAGAGGAAGCATTGAGGTATTTAATTCCTGACAGGGCCTTTTCTTATACTGCCCTCGATGGTAGGAAATCTATAGTTGCTCCTCTGACGAGGTGTGGAGGAAAGCCTTCAGTAAAAGCCCGAGAGCATTTCATGCTTAAACACAACCGGCCACCTAATTTTACCGTCCTTTGTCTTGTGAGAGATGCAGCTGCTAGATTGCCTGGAAGTATTGGTACCAGAGCAGATATTTGTACTCTTACAAGAGACTCCCAGTACATTACAGAAGAGATTTCCAATTTACAAGTTAACCAAGTCGTAAGTGGGGCTTTAGATCGCTTACACTATGAATTTGATCCTTGTGTACGATTTGACAAAGAGAGGCACTTATGGGTTTACTTGCATGGAGAAAGGGAAGAAGAAGATTTTGAGCGCAATTGTTCCTCTTCTTCAAAGATTAGGAAACGAGTAAGGGAAATGCATTGGGGTGATTCTGCTTGAGAAGAGGTGGAATGCTCAGGGATCACATTTTGAAACACATATCATCCCCATTTAATTTTTAGTAGTGCTACCAGTGCATATTTGTAATGATAGATCATATGAGCTTTCAATCGAAGGAGCCAGTGGGGAGCTAAGTTTTTGCTTTAAATGGTTTGCTTGGAAAGTTCAAATTGAAACATGTCCCCAAAACACTTTTGGAAGGCTTTTCCCCCTGACAATCTGCTCAAATATTATGAGGATTTAGTTACTTCAATTTTTGACTGGAAATGATTTTCATTAAACTTATTATGTTCCCAAGCAAATTTAGCATGACAAAAAGGGATTTGGACCTAAACAGCCAAGCTACAGAAACAGCCTTTCAGTTCAGCAGGTGGGACTCCCAGACTTCATAGTGACGATGAGAGACTCGTACACTAGACTGTCTCATTTTTTCCCCTAGAGAGCCAAGCTACTAGCTATAAAATAGTAAGTTATGCCAGTGCTTGAGCTTGAGCTTGAATCAAATGGTCAAATGGTCTTGTTTGCTATATTCTGTCAACTATTAAAGAGAACACAATCATTCAATCAGGATCATGAGAAATGTTGCATCGTCCGAAATAGTATGACACGTATATTAATATTCCAAAAAACATTTTGTTAGAAGAGACCACAAAATCTGTTGATTTATGGTCAAGAAGTTGCCTTACAACATTAATGCAACCGAACAAATAAATTCCAAATTCTCAACTGATTTATTAGACCAAAACCTCATACTATTTAAATTTTGTTCTAATAACACGTAACTTCTAACAGTCTTTCAACTCTTTGAAAAAATCCTAAGGTTAGAGCCTTATACAGATTTTACAGCAGCAACGCCGCAGTAAGTGCAATTATAAGTCAGTTTTTCCCAAGCAATACTATTATTGTAGGTTTTGTTGTTCTAACTCCTCCCTTAACTGCCCTGAGAGAATTTCCGGAGCCGAAGGACTGAATGGATGCATACACTCCTGATGATTATTTACCTTCCCATTGGCTTGCCTTCCTAATCCTGCTTCCCTGAATGATTTCAGCAGGCCCTCAAATGCAGGAGTTCTGAGGTCTTCAATGCACGCCATGGTAGGTATATTGAATGCTCTCTTCCTTGGTGTTGAACATGAGGGCCCATCCACCTAATTGTTAGAAACATAATGCATATGGATATTAATCTGATCAAAAATGAACCTTGCACCATCACAAAGAAAAGGGGATTGATTGGGGGTTGGGGGTGGGGAACGGGTTGATGCCTTCACAGATAGGGGTGGCAAAGAGAAAATAGTTGCTCTGCTGACATTTGTTCTGTCATTGGGTTCCACAATCAATAACTTGTTCATCATCATAAAGTGAAATGGCAGCCCATCATATAAGGTTCTCTTGCTGTGCATAAAGGAAAACTATATTTTGACAGTCCAAAATGCAATTCCTGATGTTCTTACCATGTAGTCATTCATCAAGCATTTCCCTGCGTTCACCATGATCTCAGAAACTATGTGGAAGTGAGAAATTTCTGCTTCTTTCATAGCCTCACAAGAAGGACCAATCAGGGAATTGATTTTCTCAAATGCATATTGGTCAAGTCTCAGTAAATCTGTAAGAAATTCATCATTGGTAGCTTATAGTTTTATATTAGCAGTCACAAAGAAAAATCAGTCTGGATATTGCATAGAAACACGCTATGTTGGGCAAAGAAGAAAAAACATGAAGAAAATGCTTTCAAGTGAAAATCATTTGGGTTCAGAAGGAACTTACCTTCAACGGAAGAAAGTAAATTGATGTTTGCAACATCTGATTCTCCCAGTGTTGACGAGACAACAGCAGAAAATTGAGCTTTGATTTTTTGATTGCCTTCCACTCCATTCCTAAGGAAACAAACCAAGAAAGATGAGAAAAAAATAAAAAAAAATCTCTCTTTAAAACTGATCAAAACCACAATGTATACTTACTGGACAATGGTATCCACAGAGTCAATATTTCTTCTTTGTAAACTAAGAGCGGAATCTTGAGCCTTCCTCCATTGTTCGGCAATTAATCTTGCCTTTGTCATACTAGATATCATATTAGGCGAAGATCAGATAAAATCGATTTAATAATTGCATTTCCAATAGGTGAAAATAAAATTTGGCACATTTAAGAAGTAGCATAACCATGGCCAAGATGTTGCCTTTACCATTGTCTGAGGCCTTCTTCCAAACCATCCTTCCCATTAACAACTGAAGTAGTATCTTCGATGTATTGGGTTTCTGTTTTTCCCAGGTAACTTGTCCATTCTCCTTTGGCAGAAGAAGTCAAATCTTGCATGTTTGACATTTCCTGATGGAGCTTGCTGGTTCTACTGGAAGTACACTCTCGAAGGTCATCTACTGCTGTTTGAACCTAAGTAACGGAAAACACTGTGGAGCTTCAACAAGCAAAACATAGGAGTCCAGTTTTCCCCCAAAGAAGATAGACAACTTGGGAGAGGCAGAGTTTACTGCTTGCCATTGAATGTGGATATTGAAAATGCATGAAAAAACAGGGTTTTGATGATGGGAAAAATGGCATATCATTCTTATTTTTGATTTAAGGGATAATTTAAGGCTCATACCTCATAAAGAAATGCATATTGGACCCTTATAAGTCAAGAATACCAACCTACAGATGCGATTCAAGGAAAAATGTACTACAGGGAAAGGGAATACGGATATAACGAGTCTTAAACATTAAGTAAAATGGTGTGTGTTTGTGTGCTTGTGTGCGTGCGTGAGTTGAGTGTGTTTGTGGGTGTGTGGGTGAGAGAGAGAGAGAGAGAGAGAGAGAGAGAATCTCAGGGAAAAGAAAAAAAAGAAAGGCAGCAGATTGGTTTCCTGGATATTTATCTCAATGGTTAGTGGAAGGTGCAAACTCTCTCTAAGAGCTAATCAGAACTACATAAGGGATCCCCAATTACCATTTATTCTAACACCAACAAAGACCTCTGGAAAGTAGTGAACCAGAGTGTAAGTTAGAAGTATGAATCATAGGGCTAAACAAGAACTCCATTAACAGTCTTCCACTCTGCATAAATGTAATACAACTTTCTGATCACCGTTGATAATGTCGTCTTCTTCTTTAATCGTACCTTGGAAAAATATGGGAAAAGACCAGTATATTTTTTCATATAGGAAAATTGTTATGCAGTAAATTAGATGTACTTGCCATATTTTTCATCCTAGCATTCGAACTTGCTAACAGCTCTGCAACTTTGTCTAATATTTGCCTTTCTTCATTAGCAGTGTACTCCTACGGAAGCAATTTTGAATGATAAGAAGCAGCTCAAGAGTTAATCATGACATCGAGGAAGGTTGCCACAATAAAGTAAGTACCTCAAACTTCTTCTCAAGTGCACATAGTTTCTGATCCTCAATTGTTTCCTCTTCTGCCACCACTAGAGTCAATTTTGAGACATGCATGCTTAAAGTCTTGAAAAAGTTCACAGTAAGCCTAGAAATTGATTGAGTTGCTTGATAAGTTCTGGAGCAACTCTGACATCACACAGGCAGAAACATAATATGAAAAGATGAATTATTCAGCTCCTTCAGGAGAGTGAAAAAAAAAATTAATGAATGAATGACTAAAAGAAATAAAAGTTTTAAACTATTCAATATGCTCCCATTTACAATAGATGGATATACGAACTTCCCACTGCATACCTCATGCTGCTGTTGTGCAAATGCGGCTACCCTTTCCCCTTGATTAGTTAGGTTAATTTGTAGATCATTGAGTATAGCTTTGGCCTCCAAAGAAATTTCTCTGATAAGCTGTGCAGAAATAAAGGTGAAATGCAGCCATTGGAACCGATGAGTATAGAAGGGTCACTTATAAAAGAAGCAATACTCACATCTCCAAGGCAAGAAGAATTCTTTGATACTTCAGATTTCAGATTATGACAAGTTAATAGGGAATTCTGATCAAGTTCTCCGGCTACATCATCCAAAGTTTTGATACCAGAACCATAAAGTTCTTGTAGCTTTCTAAGCTGCGTTTGAAGCTCTGCAGTAGCCTATCCATGCACAAAAGCACGCATTATTGCTTGCAGGTTCCAGTCATGTTTATCGGACCATGAGTATAAAAAGATGTGAATTTACCCCGGCCTTTGCAGGTAAGAAAGATAGTGTATTTTGTTCAATGACTTTCAGTTGCTGCTCTTGTTGTGTTACAGAAGCTACAACAGCTTCATTCAAAACTTCAAGCTGCTGAGCCAATCCAGAGTGAAAGTTCTGGATTAGAATTCTGTTCCGATCCTCCATATTATTCTTGTGTTCTGTTAGCCAAACAATTAAACAAAAAAGCAATATTAACACCTCATTTTTTTGCAGCACAATTGCCCAAACATGGTCAACAGATAGAAAAAGGAAAACAAACCAATTTTGGTGAACAAGATGGACATCTCTGATGCTGCATTCTCCAGTTCGGCTTGTAGCTCAAATGCTCGTTCAGTAAGTGCTTTCTCTAAGGGACAACAACAATAGTCACATCAGGAAAGCTATTCGGAGTCACAAAGAGAACTTAGATATATGCTTCACTGAATGATGAAGTATTGATGTAAAAATAGATGTGTTTCACACAAGCACTCTCACTTCACTTGTGGAAACACCAGAGAAACCAGTAAAGTTCTTGAAAAATTATACATATAGTTAGCTTTGAATTTCTAGAAGACGAAATAGATGGTATTTATAGACAACATGAAGGCTACAACAAGAATTGAGTAGAAAGAGATGTTATTTTCAGATTCGACCCTCCAAGCTATTTTTGAAACAATACCCAAAAACAAGGATTTAATAATTTGCTTTTGACTGTCATCCTCAGAATGGGAGATGGGCCAGGGATGCGAGAGAAAGATTGAAATAAAATTCTGCACTGGAATTTAAATGATTTGCCAAATATGACACTTCACTCACCAGATCCAAGGAGATTGAAAATCAAGTATTCCTTCTCTTTAATTGTGTCATTTGCTTGTCTAAATCTACCATCTAGATCAAACAAAGCTTGTTCAGTTTGCTCAAATTCTCCCTGTTGTTAGAAGCATAATATGGTTCATGTTAGTCTCTTGTGGTGATAGAAAACAAATAATAGCACTGTAAAATCCACTAGAAAGCTGGAAAGGATGAATCAAACCCAAGTGACACTAAACCTGGGTCCTTTCGAGTTTTTCACTTAGATCTGTTGTCAACTGTTGCTGATAAATATAGAGCTCCCGAAGATCCATCAGTTGCTGCTTACAACATGTAAACTCTCAATGCTCCTCCAAATGGATATTGGCGATTAGCACTCTTTGTCATTACAGTAACTATCGAAAAGGAATATATATACCTTGTCCTTAAACTTTGAATCAAGTTCCAAGCGCCCTAATTTTTCAGCCATTGCCTAAACAAGTAAAAATAAGTTCATGCTGTGCCCAAATTACTTACAATACATTAAAAATGTTTTCATGTGAAACAAGTGTAATATAAATATAGGTGATTTAAGTATTTGACAATTTGGATTCTGGACCTTCTTGGCTGCTTCTTCACTCAGGTATCGGTCCCGTGGTATATAGATGCCATTCTTCTCCCTTGTAGCATGCAACTCTGGTGGGTGGTGAGGGACAAAACATGATTTTTTATCTATAATCTTATGTGGAATGAAATTTAAATTAGAACAACCTATTACTATGAGAAAATAAAGTAATCCTCTATGGAAGTGCTCAGAAACCTTGCTTAAGACGGTCTATCTCCAAATACAGATCTTTGATCAATGCCGATTTTATCACCTTTTGATTAACCTACAAGTAGAAACCAAGCTGAAACACCTAAAGTGTGGTTGAAAGGATACGGCATACAAAAAGATTACTGAGGAAACAACATCAACCAACAACAACCAAATTACTTTACCTCTGGTCTGTTCTGGATGCTTTTTGCACGGAATGCATAATCTAGAGTGCCAAGTGTTTCTTCCAAACAGTGGACTGATGGTGATACTGTGGCAATTATGCATGTTTTTGTTTTCCCTCCTAATGAGTCTCTCAACAACCTTGTTAATTTGCTGTCCCTGATATCCCAAGTGAGCTCCCTCAAATAATTGCTCATGCACTTCACATTTATCACTGTATCATATATTTCAGTGGATGATTAGATTCCATACCTGTATGGAACATGCCCAGAGTGCTCAACAAGTGCATTAATGACACGACCAAGTGTAAGCAAGCTCTTATTGATCTCTCCAGCTTCCCGTGCTCTTCCCTGTTTAAGAAAGGTTGCGTGTCTCGTTATTCGTTGAAGGTACTAAAAAGACCAATTATTATGAGCTAATTTGGGAATATCAAATGGCATGATCTACTATAACCCTGGAAAGAATGTACTCTACACTGTAGTTGCATTGTACCTCTCTTCTACCAGAGCGCAATATGTTCTCAGAACCAGCAAGATCAACAAGATTTAGTTTTCCACACTTGATCAGCTCTACCCCCTCTGCAGTACACTCCTTAATTTGGACTGTGATAGAAAATATTGAGTGAGAACGGTTACTTTGTTTGTTGAGAAGAGTCTCTGCAGTATGCTTTTTTGCAGACCCTTTCTCTAATATTTTGTATATTTCATCTGCTGTACATACTATCTCCTCTTCTAGGCCTCTCACAAAAACAGTCCCCTTCCCATCATCCATAAGGGCTATCGGCTTCTTAGACTTGTCATCGCAGAATTTCGAATTATCATCAGGGGCCAAAAGATCTGTGATTTCCTCATTGTAAAGCTCTAGAAATGTCACTTTCATGCTATACTCAGCATTTTGAGCCACCAGAATGTCGAAGATTTGCTGAACAGCTCTTGGAATAACCCCTGCATCCTTGTGGAATTCTCCATTCTACATGCAAGGATAAAATAGAAAGTACAACATTAAGTAAAAAGAAACAGAGGTGAATGGGCCAAAAGCATAATGCACAAGAACTAGTGTATGAATCTCTAATTGTACACATGAACATAAGACCTTTTCTTTTCTTCCTTCCCCCTCCATTGTGTATGTTTTCCCTGTTCCTGTCTGACCATAAGCAAAGATAGTGCAAGTATAACCCTCGAGAGCTTCAGTGATTATAGGAGAGACAACTTGATCATATAAGTCCTTCTGTTGAGATGTCGGACCAAATACCTATACCACCCAAATAAAGAAAATTCAAGAGGTGATCTATCTCTACCCAATTTGGAGATAAATTGATGGATTTTCAATGGAAACACAGCATGTATTTGTGGCCAAACCTTATCAAACATAAAGGTTCTGTCTATCTGTTTATGAGTTGTGATTTGATTGACTGACACCTCTCTTCTTGGCTCATTACAAGAAACCACCATGGGTGTTGTCACCCTAACCTCATCCTCAATCAAAGGCCTAAATTACATAGCATAACCATGATCAATAGTGCACAGATATTTAATACCAAGAAGTGTATCAAAAACAAATACCTGCAACGCAAAATGACCTGCACATTTACCCCGTTATCATCATTTGATCGTGAATCTCTCGTGGACTTCTCACTTGACCACACATTTTGGCACAATGAAAGTGGGATAAAACTCCCCCTCCTGTGTTGTTTTGACTTCAAATTATCCATAGACAATGATTCTATTCACTACTGTCACCTGCGAAACAAGAGTATAATATCACACAAACAAGAACTAACTCCAGAGTACTATTAATCACAGATAATATCAGAAACAAGTAATAGCAAAAGTTCTACTGAGCCTGCGTGAGAGTTGTGGTAAGGTGAACGTTGGATTTTTTGCTTTTGGAATAGTTACAATTACAAGAAGTCTCAGGAAAATGATAGATTAAAAAGAAATAAAGGAGAAAAAACAGCAGATAAAAGATTGTCAGGGGTGAATAGATGAACATGAGAATTGAAAGGCAAACATAGGACGTAAATTGAAGCTGAAAACTTGTTTTGACAACAAAAGATTGATTTGATCATCAAATATTGACTACAAAAGATTGCTTTGAAAATCTATAAACCAACATGATGAGATTTGTACAATTGGGTGGAGAATATTGGTTTGCTATATGAGTTTACGATCAATATGAAACCTATTGGAACAGTGAAATGCAGCCGAAAAACTTACGGCCAGTTGGGGCATTCAAAATCTGATCAGAAAAAGTACAAAGCAGAATAAGTGAAGAACATAAGAGGCAACCTGGCGATGATATCAAGAGATATAAAGAGAGTTACAGAAGACGTGAGCTTTTACCAGTCTTTTATGAACCATTTATGTTTTTATAAAAAACCGTTAAGAACCAAGCATTTAAATAAATTAATGAAGGTATAAACTGACTTATTTTGTCAGTTTTAAAAGAAAGGGACATTTTGTTTGGGGTACAACGTTGAAGATACCCTTTACGATAGAAAACAACTGCTACATAGAAAAAGTGAATTTAGTCTATATATTATTGTCTTTTAAGGTTGCATGGTCTGGATGTATCTGTTATTTTAAAGATTTGAAAGCCAAATGTATGTAACTCTATTAATGGGCTCCCATCGCTGCGGGTAGACAATAGAATAAATTAATTATTAATGGTAAGACCTACTTTGAGCTCGAACTGGTAACCGGTAACCTTTCAAATTGTTGTTGAATCCATGGCACATGAGCCAACTTGATGAATTGGAATATCTTAAGTTTTAAACGACAAGCAAAATGGGAACAACCTGAATCGAGAAAGCAAGGTTGTCGAGCATGAGAGCAATACAAGTGTCATGCTGTTCGGCACAAGTGTGGAATGTTACACCCTGAATAGCAAAAGTCTAGTAGCTAAAAGCTTCACCAGCTTACATTTTGATCCAAGCAACATGGGCACATGAAATTCCGTGAATCAGAAAGGACCAAACTCATCTAACCCTCTCAATCCAGTCATATTTAAGAGTCTGCCTAATAAATCATACACCAATGGTATTATATGAGGGTTTTTTTTTTTTTTTTTTGAACTGGGTATGACATGAGAAGTATATCGAGGTTTTGGATAGGCTAAGTGATGATGGGTTTTGAAGCAGGTGCCCATGAGAGTTCAAAACCACAAATCAAATATAAGTGAGCTGTTATTATAATCATTGGCGACACAGAGAAAGTCAAACTGCGCTTGTGACTACATGGAAATCTTAAAGAAAGAAGATTGATTGAATGCTGACTATGATTGTGATCATAAGAGATTTATGGGCTTTCCTCAGGAATGAATGTTGAACAACTTCAAGTGTGTGTCAGAGGTAAGCCCTTTGATATCATTTTTAAACCCTTCTTCGCTGTTCTGCAATCATCATCGCACTTTAGGCTTTTCTCTTCTCAAAAATCAACAGAATCAACAAAAACTAAAGGTTTGGTTAAAGGACTGAGAGTCTTAGATGTCATAGCTTCAAAGCCAAGTGTTATTGACAATCGCCAAAGCCATCTTCGCCTCATTCAGGACTTTCTTCAGACAAGTTCATACCAGTTTTCAGAGCAGCGTGTTAGTGATTATTACCCTTATTCAAATTCAAAGGAAGATTCAATCTTGATGCTTTTTAGGCTACACAGAGAAGGGTTGAAAACTGACGCAAGTGTTTTATCACATGCTTTGAGTTCATGTGGGTCTTCAAGAACTCTCAGTGTAGGAATTCAAATACACTGCATGTCAATCGTAAATGGGTTCATGGGCAATGTTTATATCGGAAGTTCTTTGATCACTTTTTACAGCAAATGTTGTGCATTGGACAATGCATGCAGGGTGTTTGATGAGATGTCTATGAGAAACATAGTATCCTGGACCGCAATCATGAATGGGTTTGCGCAAGAATGTCAAGTTGATATTTGCTTGGGTCTTTATCATAAAATGAGAATTTCAAGACTGTCACCAAATGATTTTACGTTCACAAGTTTCTTGAGTGCTTGTACGGGTAGCGGGTGTCTTGGTAAAGGAAAGAGCGTTCATTGCCAAACAATTCAAATGGGTTTCGATTCGTATATCCATATTGCTAATGCTCTGATGTCAATGTATTGCAAGTGCGGGACTGTTAAAGATGCATTGTTTGTACTTGAGAACATGAATTACAAAGATTTGGTGTCGTGGAATACAATGATTGCCGGCTATGCTCAGCATGGGCTTGCGTCTCAGGCCATTGGTCTTTTTGAAGAGCTGATGATGCACAGGGTGAAACCTGATGCCATTACTTTCCTTGGCATCCTTTCTTCATGCCGCCATGCTGGTTTTGTTGAACAAGGGTGGTTCTACTTCAATTCAATGGTTAAATATGGTATAAACCCGGAAATGGATCATTATTCATGCATTGTGGATCTTCTTGGTCGAGCTGGGTTGATAGAAGAGGCTCGAGATTTCATCAAAAAGATGCCTACTAATCCCAATGCTATCATATGGGGGTCATTGCTATCTTCGTGTAGGCTTCATGGCAATGTTTTGATAGGAATTGAGGCTGCAGAGAATAGGCTTGTATTGGAACCATGGTCTGCTGCTACCCACCTGCAACTGGCAAATATGTATGCCAGTACCAGGTGCTGGGATCAGGCGGCACGCATTAGGAAACTTATGAAAGATAGAGGGATGAAAACGGAACATGGTTACAGTTGGATCGAGATAAAGAATGTGGTTTCTAGATTCAGAGTGGAGGACAAATCGAATAATGAAGTAAGTGAAGTTCTTGCTGTGCTAGATGTTTTGGTAGACCACATGAGTGGTATACACTGTGTTCCTGGAATGCATGAAGAGGAGGCTGACTATTATTTGTACACAGCAATATAAGCTATGAAGATACCTCTATAATGTGGTACTTCAAATCGTTCATGCCCCAGACTTGGGCACGTGGTACTTGAGCTTGGAGTTTCAGGCTTTCAGCCTGGATTTGTGTTCCTGGTGCGTACTCTGTGATAAGAATTGGAAATCGCATATATAGACTGAAACGCTAGTTGCTAGAGCATGGAAAAATGAGGCAATGTGAGTTCACTGCTGCTTGTGCAGTTTATATCTTGTGTTTGGCAGGGTCACAAACCAGTGCTATTAGATTCTTGCATTGGCAGTATTAGCTTTCATGAGTTGCAGATTCTTGGAGAACCAACTGATGGAGCGTTTCTGTTTGGGATCAAACTTTTTGATCTGAACTGGTGATCTAAATCTATAGCCTTAGCCGGAGTTCTTCCAAAGGACCATAGAGCAGAGCTGCTAAAGAGTTTTGCTCCCAAAACGGGGCTGTGTGATTTTAGATATTTAAGCTATTCATGTGAGGTAGATACCGTGTTTATGGCAGCCTCAATCTCAATGAACTTGAACTCTGCTCTGGAATAAACTTACAATGAGATTAAGACACCTGGAGGAGACATCCATGTCTTCAACTATAATGAGTTCCTTGCTACCTGTCATCTGCTTCAGAACAAATTGGTCGTTGGGCCTGGAAATAAGAAAATCTCAATTTGTAAAAGAAAAAATGTTTCACTTCAGCAAATAAACATGATTTGGAATGTAAACTCAAATGGCATGAAGTGAGTCGGTCCACCTTCAAATCAAATATACATGATTATCTTAAAGTCACTCTCAAGTTTCATAAAAAATGGCTTCAGCGTCTTCCACTCTCAAGTATGTCCCCAGGTATCAAACTTCTCACAATCTTTATACTCACCAAAACATTGCGGGTTGTGTAGTACAATTGTTGAAAGAACCACACCTTGACAATAAGTGAAATATCTGCCCACATGGTTTCCAAGGCAACTTCCCACATAGTTTCCATGGCAAGGAGAAGTGATAACACATTGCAGACACCAAATATAAACGTCATATCCTGTTTCCTTGACCAGAGCAGGACACCAAGAATAAATCATTTCGTTTTTCTTCTCCACAACATTTCAGACCATGTTCACAAACTCAAAGGTTGGTTTTAACATGAGGGGGAAAAAAATTCTATTAAAAATCCGGTGGAACCTAAACACAGTAAAAATGGATAATTGCGATGCATGTAAAACAAGAATACACTCCCTAACCAGATCAAACAATAGGAAGGCAGTTACTGTGTATTGCTGGGCTATTTCGCCAATAATATGCAACTATTGACTGCATTAAACATTAGAAGGTAAAGCGTAGAGTCATTTTGCATATCCTTCGGTGTGCAAAATACCTAAACAAGCTCTCAATTGTGAACATCAAAATACTCTCATCAACTCAGAAAAACTCAAAGTGTACTATGGAGTGTGTCGAGGCACATAATCATGTAGGTGATATAGAGTACTACTACAAGTCCTAACCTCAATTTATATCTCAGAGATTGTCCCAATAAGAACTAAGTTTAAGGGATAATAAAAAATCACTGGAGAACTCGCATCGAGATTTGATTGTTGAGACAGAAGCCTCTGTTCTTGGTCAGAAATGCATGCATCGCCTGGGTCTTTGAGGGAAAGCGTGCAAGTGCCATTTTAATGGGGCCCGAGGATGCCGGCCTGAAACAGTAGAACAAAGGATTCACTTTCGAGAAAGATACAAAAAGGAACAAATGAGACATCAAAAGCAATCTATTCAGTACTGACCTGACGAACATCTGGATGGAGGTAGCATCATACTGGCAACCATAAAGGAAGCGCTCTACATCATCTTGAAGTGCATTGCGAGGGATTCCTTGCAGTAAAATCTGTGAAAAGGAGACACGCATCAAATAATCTCAATCTGCGAATGTAGTGCAACAAATATTCAAATGTGTTTGGCATTGTTATGTAACACAACGGACACTAAAACTTTTGGACATGTATCTGACATCTTTATGTATGTGTCAGTATTTGAAAAACAAATATTTCTTTCCATTCATGCCCGCTCCATGCGATCGACAGAACTCAAAAGTTAAGAGAAGACTTTTGTCATAGTATGAACACAAGTATGATAGTTAAGAGGAATTAGACTAGCGGTCAGTATAAAATTCACTACAACATTTTATTCTGTTTCTAAGCAAAAATAACATATGGGAGTCTTTAACTAAAGGAAGGCATAGAGAGAATCAAAGGAATCATCAATAATTATGCATCCTTACACTACTTTGTCTACACCAGGTAGGTAATTGCTTAATATCATAATTATTCATAAGTTAAAGATTTCATCTCGCACAATAGATAAGAACGACTTTGTATATTGCAAAATTTTTCATAAACATAGAAATATACTCAAAATGATGCATATAAAACTCCATTATTTGTTGTTGTCCTCTCATTGTGTTTGTGTCCTACATTTTTAAGATTTTTCATGCCCATCAGTGAAGTAGAATTCGGATGCCATTTTCCTTATGCAATTTACCCATGTACAATGCCTATCCAGCACAAAAACAGCTCATCTTGCGGCTTGATCCCAATTACCAACTGCTTGAACCTTGAGAACTAATAAAAGTGACTTATGTTGATTGAAAAATAAGGCAAATATAGTTTTCTCTGCCTTTAAGCTAAGATCAGGATTAGCAACATGAAAATACAAACTTCAAGTAAGAGAACAATTTAAAAAAAAAATAAAAAATCCTGAACTTCTACTTACAGCTTTTCCATCATATGGTACAATGAGATCCCATTGGGAATGGTTAGGTATCTAAGAACAAAGAAGAAAAGATTATCAGCCCATTAATCACAACAGATAACACAAAGTGATTGCAAATGTGTTTATCCAGTGGCATTAGCCGCGTTACCCTCTCCAGTTTGTACAAGCGACCCTTTCTACCAATTGCCCTAATAGCAGCATCATAGGCAGACCTAGAAGGAAATTGAACCATCCTGTATGAAACCACAAAACATGAAATGTAAAAAAATTTCATGGAATAGTTAAGGTATTAATTCCAACTCCAAGTTCCACCCTAGGAACAAATGCAGGGAATAAGATACATATCTTACCATACACAGATAAATGCATATTCAAATAACATACATGCAACACAGCACAAGGAAAACATTACATTGCCACTGGGGAGTAAGCTCGATTGTAATCGACTTTGACATCATCCATAGTCAAATTACACCCTTCTAACAAATTGACAATATCACTCTTGGTCGTATTTCTTGCAATACCAGTCAATCTCCCATACACCAAACCTGAGAGAGAGAGAGAGAGACCACAAACAAAAATGTGGGGAACTAAAGATTAAACCATTCGACAGTTCATAAAGTCATTTGTTGATTCAAACAAAAGAAAGAAAGAGAAAGAGAAAGACATCGCAATTAGCCATGAATCAAAATTACTTTTTGTAAATTTCATTATAGAAAATGACTGGGTACTAAAATTGACATTGAAACCAAGTAATAACCGGCCCAATTATAAGTAAATGTAAATCAACAAAACATAAACCAAATTGAGACTACTAAAGGAACTCTAACCATCCATTTGGAATCTGAGAAAACAGAGGAAACAAACTGGAAAATGGAGTTACGAACTTCATGCTTTTCAATGGTTCTGCTACCCTGTTGGAAAATTTTTTTTTTGCTAAACCCCAAAAATGGAAGTTCTATTCATGTGACACAAAAAAATTTATTAGGCCGCCCCCTTGACTCCTCAGTAGTTGAAAATTCCACATGTTCTCAGTTACAAAACCAAACCTTCCATAAATACTCTAACGCCTGATCTTAATAACGAAAAAGAAGGCAAAAAAAATGAGCCAAAACAATTTAAACGAAGAATCATCCATAGTACCAAAAAGTGAAAATTTCCAGAATTCTATTCATGTTAAACCTCTAATTACACTATATGAATAAATATTCATATTTGAGCCCTAAACCCAAGCTCAACAGAGTAGGAAACGAAACAAAAAAAATGCCTTTTTTTTTTAAATCCTTAAACGTATAATAAGATTGAACCAGACATTACCTTAAACGTATGTTGATTCTCAAATATAACCATATAAACCGTAAATCCTAAACCCTAACTTGTGTGAAAGAACAACATTATATTAAATTATTGAGTGAAAGATTAAACGTTGGATGTTTCCGGCGGACCTGTGTTTGGAACTTCAAGAAATGAATCACTGGATGCGCCCAGACCCGGCTCCTCAGCTTCGGTTGAAAAACGTCTCAGCGAATCACGAAGAATCGATGCTAATCCTTGGTTTTGATGAACAATCCGAACTATATGGTTGGATTTGATTACGGTCTTAAGAAGACTCCCCTTCAGCATTTTCGGAGATTTGAATGAGAGAGGTTGGTCGACGCCAAGAGTGGCAAGGAAGAACTCAGAGGCACTATGCAAAGAAAGAGTTGCAAGTATCGCAGTTGCAGATAGACACGGTGTCGTTTTCGTAAGATAAAATTACAGAAATCTCCACTCTAGTGTTTTATATTAACGAAACTTACCCATTTAGTTTGTGAAATAACATAGAAGCCTTGACAATCCGTACATTATTGACACAAACTTCACGGAGCGAGACTTATTGTATATAAATGGATTTAAAGCCCATTAAAACAATATGGATATCTTTCACATGCAGACATGCTACTTCACTAGAAATCCTACTATTGCAAATGAGTTTCTCCTCAAAGGATTAAACCCCAAGGGGGTGTTTGTTTCATAGGATAAAGACAGACAACATAGGGGACTGGACTTAAATTATTCTGGGGGCCCACATACCCCTCATTTGGGTCTATTAAAACAGGTGAGATAATAGTTGGGTGTGAATTTATCGCGCCGTATGTATTCAAAGGCAAATATCCCACATAAATCGGATATATGAAACCCATGGAGTAGATGGGATTAAAATTCTATCAACAGGATACATATGTAATTTTACAAAAAAGCCCTTGCACGGTGAATTCAGCTTTGGTTTTTACCCCTTTCACTCTCATTATTTCCCCCTCTCATCCATACTGAAGAAGGCAACAGGTTTTTCTTAAGGGTATGGCTCTCTCTCTCTCTCTCTCTCTCTCTTGTCTTCTATTTGTCTCAATTGAAACCCTCTTCAACCCATCTTTTCACAAGCACAAAACACACTATAACAACAAGCCCACCATCGCACCATTGAAACTCAACCCACCAGATATGCCTCCACCGATTATAGCAGATCATTGGCCGCTAATGCTTCAGATCTTGATTCCAACCGAAATGGTGGAGTAGCTTCTGATAACGATTGTAGATATTGGGTCTGTCAGCAGCTCAAGACCGTTGATTCTCTCTCTCTCTCTCCCCCTATTTGTTCGTCATGTTCTTTTCGTCTCTGTTGTCTCTCTCCCCATCAGGGATACCTCTCGCACAAGGATTCAGAACACACGCACACACACAATGATTCAAAGTAGCATGCACACAAACAGATTCTCACTCTCTCGTACACACAGGTGTTTGATATTGGGAAAAATTATGAGTCCTCTATGTTGGGTAGTTTGTTGTTACTTCGTTAGGTTTTGAGGCTTTGGATTTTGGTAAAATCATCATAAATTGTACTAGAATTGATTGTTTAATAAACAAGTGATACACCAATTGATTCTCATGTTTATGAAATTTCGGCTATTTCATTCCTTTGTCAAATATCTTTTGTTAATTAATTTCAATACAATATTTTGGGTCGATTAAATATATTTGTGATCGACTATTTTAAATTTGTTTATAGAGTACTGTCTGAACTACCAATTTCTTGAAGTTATTTTCAAAAATAATGTTTAAACAGATGTTACACTTGTCGAATAAATGGATATTTAATCACCTTCTTTGCTACCTGTATTTTCTATGCTCTTTACACAAGGCAATAAACATGTATTTAGGTACTATTAAAAACCTAAACCATATTGTCCTTTTTGTTAGAGAGGGTCTTCATAAAAGCAAATTGTAGGCGGTTTGTAAACTTATGTATAATATGTGATTGTTTATTATTATGTTTTTGTTTCTCGATTAGTTTTTTTGGATGACAGTTGGTATGTCTTGGATGTTACACTTTTGATGGGCGATTTATATGATTTTGTGATGAATTGTGTACAAAATTCAATTAACAAAAATTATAAACAAATTTTCGACTTTGTATTGTTAAAAAAACTCAATTTATTAAATCAGGATTTTGTTCAAAACTAAGTACCTAATCATCCTCATTTTGGATTGACAACATATCGATTCAATGTTGGTATAGGATTGGATCAGATTTTTTTACAAATGGTGTTATGGTCATTTTACCATCTTTCATCTACACATATGAATGGAGCCCACAAAACAAATATTTTTTATTCAAAGATAGGATAGGATGGAATACTATTCGTTATGATTGAATCAACTCAGACTATTTTTCGTTGGATTGGATTAGATTCAGATTCAAATCTAATCCAATCCAATCCTCCCATGATTGGATTGGATGGGATACTTATAAGAACTTGTGAAATTGTACTACTAAGCATGTATGGTAAATTAGTATACCACAAAGAATTCGTTAAAAACTTCTTACAAATTTTTTCTATAATCAAGTCGAGTCAGAACTCTTCGAATGGTTTAACAATTGCTTTGTATGACAAGTCTCACCTAAATTTACGATGAAGACTCTTCCTGTAATCAATGAAGAGAATTATATCGAAAATATTTGAATCCTTCTAAGCTTATCCTAATCTAAGGACCCTCAAATTGGATTATTGCTATCTAACAAAAAACAGTGTGACATAGGACCACGTCTATATCTATATCTATATTTATTTATACTATTTTTAAATGTGGGGTCGTCTAAAAAACTTTTATTTTCCTTTTTTACCCCCAAAAAATGATATTAGGTCATTTTTATCCTTAACTTTGTTTATTAAACCGGAATTCTGTTTCATTTATGTGCAACGCACGTTACTTTTTTTTTGTTGTTTCATTTTGCATTTTGTCGGTTTCTTCACCGCTTCAGATTCTCTTTCCATTACTTCATCCCTTTAGATTCTCTCTCAGAAATGTTTACATGCGCCTCCTCCAGATTTTCCATTCATCTAGCAAGAAAACTCGATTGATTCTTCAGCTACTCTGACCACGAATTAACGATAAGCCAACGTTGAACATTGCGATTTCACCTCCGTTTAGACTTTCTTTCTGACTCTATGTGCTTCAATGGATTCTTAAAGTTTGATTTGTTTTTCTTTCCCTGATTTGAATAAATATTTTTCTCAATTTGTGTGGGTTCTCTCTCTCTTTTTTTGGGTTTTAATTTTTCTTGTCATGTGTGAGTTGTGGGTGTGGGAATACGGTTGTGCTTGCGGCTTAGTAATGTTTTGTTATAAATATTTCACTTTTAGGGTAAATTATGAATCTTTAATTTCACGAATCTCTGCTTAATGATTTTTTGATGGTCTTAAAATTTGCTTTGTCATGTTGCTTTCATTTGTGTGAAGTTTAATTCATATTTGAGCATATTCAACGAACAAATTTGTTTATCTACATGATAAGGATTGGAAACCTTACAAGCATTGTACGTAAGGGAACTCTTTTGTTTCCATGAGACAGTGTGATTCTTTGTTTTCATATTGGTTAGTGAAACTTCCAAATGGTTTCCATTTTGATACAAGTGAACCGTGCTACAAAAAATTGGTTTGTATCTTGTGTACTCAAATTGCATATTAGATTTGGTGCAGAAAAAATTGGTTCTATAAATTTGATTTTCAGTTTTTTTTTTTAATTTCTGTTTACTTTGTAACCTAAATTGATCAATTGTTGGGTTAGGGTGTTTGAAAGTTTTGGACACGTTCTTTTTGTTCAATGTACGTTAACCTCTGATTTTTCATGTATTTTAACTTTCATTTGACATCAATCAGTAGTTTTTACATGGTTTGATACGATGTGACATGTTGCTTGACATATTGATATTTGTTTGGTAGATTGTGCACTGGATATAAATCTTTTAAATTTCTAGAGGAAACAAGCTAGGTTGAGTCTCCAAGCAAAGGAGATCAATAGATTGCTTTGTGATGTTGAAAATCGTCTAGGTTCTTGAGGGGCATAAGAAATTGTAGAGTACTAACTTGTGAGATAGTGGCTGCATTTAAGCCAGACTTAAGACTGAAAATTTCATGAAATTCGACGAGGTAGAATATCATGAATGCTGATTTTTTAAAACATGTTGCTCGCCATTTGCTTTTGGGCATTCCTTTCTCACCAGAGATTATAATTTGGCATCCACGTTTTACAACAAACAACTCTTATTTTTGAAACATAGGACAGTCCATTTGTGAGATGGACGTTGTATTTTTTGCTATATTTCCCAATGATTATTGAAGCCTATGATGTATGACTTACAAATCTCATGCTCTGAGCTCACAAGGGAGCAACAACAGGAACCATAAAGTTCAAGAATCAAGAAAACATGCATCAATAAATTTTCATTATTTTACTAATGTTCAAATTTCTGTCGTTTTAAGCAATATTTCTTATATATATTAAGGTTATGCTTCAGGTTGATCCTTGATGCCTAAGAACTGGTACATGACATCAACGGAATGTATGTATTTTCTTGTTCCTTTTATTTATTTTTTCTCTTACATTATACATATCTCCTAACTAAACCTATTAGACCACTTTAGACAAGGACTGATGGTTCCAACAGTAACTTCAAAGAAAATAAAGCAGCTCCATTATCCACCATAGAGATGCAAAAAGCTTTTGTTACAAATAGCCTTGAGTTTTCAAGGTATCTTCTATGTCCATCTCATCGTGTTGGTTCAAAGGCTTTTTACAGGAGCTTGAAGAGGGCCCAATGGATGGGTTGAAGGAAAATGTGATTGTCGAGTTTCTTAGGACTACTACGATGTGTACTGATGACATTCGTGAATTTGGGCTGGGGATGAGGGTAGTTCTTGAAGTGAATTCCTTTATGGCATTTAGGTAAATTTTAATGAATGTCAACGAGGTTTGATGTTTACTTAATTTCTAGAATATAAGACACTACGAATATATTGAGGTAATGATATTGTTGTGATCATTTTCCTCATGGTCTTAATCAAGTTAGAGTTTCAGTTGTCAGGATTGTTTTCATGGCAGGATTAGATAGCTCTTTTACATTATATGTTGCATTATAAATTATCAGGGTGTACCCGACCAATCTGTGACTTTGTGTAAACATGATATTTCAAGGTATGAGTTGCTAACTTTCCAACTTCCTTTAGAAATCCTATTATTAGGATCTAGAATTGTTCTCTTGCATTGGAATTGGCAAAAATTTGATTCATTATCTTTGCAAATGGACTTAGTACTTTACATGGTGGCAATTTTAAAAATTTTTAATGATGGTAGCTTGTTAAATCAATAAATGCTTCAGGCCTTGCTACTCAAACTGGTGA